TCTAAAATAGGATTGCAATGTAATTATAGATACTTGATAAATTGGGTTGTAATTTTCAATTTTGTGATCTAATAGGAAGTATAGTTTTATCCAGTAGGATTATGGTTTTTCAACCTAGCCATTAGTATCTAAAGTTTCCATGATGGGAAAGAAGACTTAGGTACGTTTGTTTCTAGAAAAGTCGTCTCCCCAGTTGTTATCATATATACGGGTTTCTAAACCCTATTTAGCACCATCATATGACAACTCTCAGATCGGGGTAGTACAGTCTAAGGATCTTCAGCAGATTCTAAAAGGTATTCTAAGGTCTAATCTTCAATCAGGTACGATTGTTGAATTTCTCTCTTTAATTTTGATTGCAATTTTTTATTTATTTCTACTAGTTGTGTAAGATTGTAGAAAACAAGAATAGTGCAAAAAATAAAGAGGAGAGTTTCGCAATCGTACCTGATTGGAGATTGTTGGAAACATTTTAAAATAAAAAATATTTTGTGGTCTTGTACACAACGTTTTCTAAATTAGGATTGCAATGTAATTATAGATTTTTGATGGACTGGTTTGTACTTTTCAATTTTGTGGTCTAATAGGGAGTATGGTTTCACACCTTTGGATTGTGGCTTTTCAACTTTATTTTATAGGATTTAATCATGGTCATTAGTATCTATTTGGGGGGACGATTTTTCTATAAACAAACATACCTAAGTTTCCCTTCCTATCATGAAAACTTAGATACCTAAGTTTCCCTTCCCATCATGAAAACTTAGATATCAATGGCCATGATTAAATCCCACCAAATAAAGTTGAAAAATCACAACCCAATCTATGAAGGAGAGTGTTCTAAAGTATTAATCCATCTATTTAGATAATTGTATTTTTTTTTTTATAAAAAAAAAAAAAATGAGTGGCCACTCGACTTTTTTGAAGTGTTGCAATCCACAGTGTCATTTTTTATAAAAGGTGTATGGACCAAGTGAAAGATTGTTGGAAACTTTTTAAATCAAAAATATTTTGTGGTCCTGTACGCAACTTTTTCTAAAATAGGATTGCAATGTAATAATAGATATTTGACGGATTGGCTTGTACTTTCAATTTTGTGGTCTAATAGGGAGTATGATTTTATACCGTTGGATTATGGTTTTTCAACTTTATTTGGTTGGATAAAATCCTGGCAATTGGTATCTAAAATTCCATTATGGGAAGGGAGACTTAGGTATGTTTGTTTCTAGAGAAATCGTCCCCCTTGTTGTTATCATATACAAGGGTTTAATAACCCTATTTAGCACCATTAATATATATATATATATTAATTTCTACAAGTTGTGTATGATTGTAGAAATCAAGAATAGTGCAAAAAATAAGGAGAGTTTAGCAATCATACCTAATTGGAGATTAAACATTAGAGTACTTTGAATTTCTTATGGTAAACCCTTAAAGTGTTTTACTCTCAATCTTAGAGTTGTTGTAGCTAAATAAGGATTTTGAAACCCTTATATATGATAAACGCCGGGGAAACGACTTTTTTACAAACAAACATACCCAAGTCTCCCTTCCCATGATGGAAACTTAGATTCCAATGGCCAAGATTAAATCCCACAAAACAAAATAAAGTTGGTAAACCACAATCCAATCTATATGAAGAAGAGTGTTCCTAAAGTATCAATCCATCTATTTCGATAATTGTATATTTTTTTTTTTATAAATAAAATGAGTGGCCATTTGACTTTTTTGAAGTGTTACAATCCACAGTGTCATTTTTTTATTAAACTTAAGGTATATAGACCAAGTAAAAGATTGTTGGAAAATTTTGAAAATAAAAATTATTTTGTGGACTTATGCACTACTTTTCTAAAATATGATTGCAATGTAATTAAAAATACTTGATGGATTGGGTTGTATTTTTCAATTTTGTGGTTTAATATGGAGTATGGTTTTATACCGTTGGATTGTGTTTTTTCAACTTTATTTGGAGGGATTTAATATTGGCTATTAGTATCTAAAATTCCATGATGGGAAGGGAGGCTTATGTATGTTTGTTTCTAGAGAAACTGTCCTCCCTTGTTGTTGTTCTTATACATAAGGATTTCATAACCATATTTATCACCATCATACGACAACTCTCAAATCGGGGGTAGAGCACTCTAATTTCCCACTTTGTTCAATTAGGTATGTTTGTTTTCTAAATTTTGATTGCAGTTTTTCTTTTTTTTCCTTTCTACAAGTTGTGTAAGATTGTAGAAATCAGGAATAGTGCAAAAAATAAAGCGAAGAGTTTAGAAATCGTACTTGATTGGAGATTAAACATGAGAGTAATTTGAATTTGTTATGGTAAATGCTTAGAGTGCTTTGCACATAATCTGAGAGTTGTCGTATAATGGGGCTGAATAAGGATTTTGAAACCCTCATATATATGTATATATATATGACGCGCGGAGGGGGAAGACTTTTTTGTAAACAAACATACTTAAGCCTCCCTTCCCATCATGGAAATTTAGATACCAACGGTTAGAATTAAATCCCACCAAATAAAGTTTAAAAACCGCAATCCAACGGTATAAAACCATACTGCCAATTAGATCACAAAATTGGAAAGTATGACTCAATCCATCAAGTATCAAAAATTACATTGCAATATTTTTCTAGGAAAACATAGTGCATATGGTAGAGTACAGTGGCAGCAAGTAGAGGACAGTGGCAGCGTTTTAAAATGTATAAAAGACGTGGGAAAGAGGATTCTAGAGCTTAAACCTTGATTTGGCAGATAATAGACGACGAGGGGTCCACTTGGAGTCTTGCATAATTAGGGGGTTTGGTCAAAATGCATTATTTTGGTAATTGTATTAATTATGGTGAAATTACATTGTTTTGGTAAATTACATCAATTAGATTAAATTGCATCAATTAAGTTTTTTTGTTACTTTATAAAGCTAGAGTCAACTTTTGATTGTCTCCATTATAGGGTAATCCAAGGGTCATCCTTTATTATAAAAAGGATACAATGTAATTCTGATTACTTAGTCAAAAAAATGAATAAAAATATCCTTTGAGATTTTTTTGTGAGTGATTCACAAATTCTGAGGGTGTGAGGCCTTCTCTAGGTGTGATACCTAGGCCCTGTTCGAGTGATTCCAATAGGTTTTTGTTTTGTGTTGGTGTGATGCCAATAGGCTTTTTCTTTTTTTCAAATCCCTTATTGCAGCTTTTATTATATTCTCCTTATTTTTCTACATTTCTACTATCAAACCTCAAAATTTCAGCCCTAATTCTTTGAACTTTCAACCTTTGATTTCTTTAAGTTCCTAACTGTTTAACTATTTAAGGCTGCACCCTTGTCCTACATCAATATAGAACCAAAAAATATTTTTATTTTAAAAAATTCGCAATAATCTGTCACTTGGTCAATGTACATTAAGTTTTATTAAAAAATAACAATGGGATTGCAACACTTTAAAAAAGTCTAAGTGGCCACTCATTTTATTTTAGAAAAAATATAATTATTGAAATAGATGGATTTATATTTTAGAACACTCCTCCATAGATAGACTTCATCAATAGTGGATCGTGAATGCGTCTAAACAATTCCATGATCTCAAAACCATTCCATCTAGGATTCAAGCAAATATAGTGTACGTTTTTTTACAGCGTTTCATGAGATGTGCAAATTGCATGTGGTCTAAACGCACACTTCACTAATCGTCCTACTTCATATCATCATGGTATGTCACCTAAACATATTACAGCGCCAACCTCCTATCCAGTGTGAAGGTTTACCAATATGGAGTCAAATCTCATATCTAGTCAAAGCTATCCTCATGGAGTGTGAAACACCCCCACATGCAAACTTTCATAATTATGGTTTGGATTTACCTATGTGGTGTCAAATCTTACATCTCTCCATTGCCCCATAAATGAAGTCCTTATCAATGTCAACCTCGTTGACATACAACTCAAACCATCAATTATAACAAAACTCCGAGCTCTAGATCTCCTAAGCTGAATAGGCTTAGGATCTGGATTGGAAACTGAAGGAGGAGGCTGCGAAGGTGAAAAAATTGAAGGAGTGGGAATAAGATGATAAGATCTCAAACTGAAAGCACTGAAAAAGGTGGAACGGAGTCTGAAGTAAATGGAATAGGTACCGAATATCGCTCCTCTGCAAAAAGACACTACGATGCTCTAGGCTCCCACTATATTCGCAACCCTCAATAAATTTGGCAGAACATATCTCCACAATCTCCATTGGTTGAGGGGGATAATAAAATTTGTAGCCCTTTACTCTCTCAGAATACCTAATAAAATAACAAGTAACGGTGTGACGATCAAGCTACTTGATATCTGCATTATATAACCTTGCCTCTGCAAGGCATCCCCACACAAGCTAATGCTTGAGACTAGGTCTATGACCCATCCAAAGCTTAAAAGGATATTTCAAGAGGTACTTTACATGACACCCTATTAAGAATAGAAACTGTTGTTTTTAAAGTTTCTCTCCAAAAACTTTAAAAAATATCCATTCATACTAGAAAACTGAAGATAGAAGAATTGAAATAGAAGTAAGAGAGAAGTCAACATCCTTATCCCCTAAAAAAGAGAGAGATAGAAGTCATCATAAACATGTACGTACATATACATATCCACATACACATGTTGTGTCCTCACTACCTCTTTATCAAAGCGCTAGAAAAGATCACTGATTTTTATGATTCATAGTTAACAAATTTAGTGCAATTCAAAATATTAAATTTACTTAACAAGGATTATTGTTGTTGTATATTATAATGTTTACTTTATAAATATCTAACTCTTTGTTATTGTGTCCCCCAACACTTAACTGCTTTCCATGCATGCGTGATGCGTGTAACATGTCATCTAGGGAAAAGAAATGAACATGTCCTGCTATTTCCATATAATCACATTCACGTGGCTACTTTAATAAAACCATGAATGAAAGTAACAAGAGTACTTGCATGGAGAAAGAAATAGACGCATCAAATCAAGAATACCTTGATAGATGGGACCATAGCAATAGCTTCCTCCACAGTTTCAGGGCAAAGGTTTCCAAGAACACAAAGCTGCACAATACAAGGAATAAACATTTATAGATTTCATATATAAACCCCAACTTTTAACTTACAAAATGGTTGGAATATAATTATATTACCTCAAATTCAGCCAACTGGTATCTACTAAGAATTCTGAATGTCGGTTAAGTACGTACTGCTGCTGATAAAAGAATTAATTAATTTAAAAGGGAAAATAAAAACAGTAATTACAACACACGTTTTTCCTTCAGGAATAAAATTCCAACACTGCCAAAATGAACCATTCCAAAGAAGCGTAAGATATTATTGATTTAAGTTGTACAGATTCAGTAAATAAGTTCGATACAGAGATATTCTAAATAAGAGTCCAAAATCGACTCACTATTTTATTAAACCTACCAAAAAACACTATCTAGATGAACTGACAACAGAAAACAGCAGAAAGAAAAACTCTCTTAACCGCTGTAGAAAAAGCTGGTAATTGACATCATTCTTGCTGACGCAGATCCCACTTATCATAGACCAAGCATGGTGTGGGTAAAATTCAGAGAAGTAATGATAATATATCATGTAATATATTAACAATTGAAGAAAACCACTACATTGCAAGGTGGAAATTTGCTGTCTAAAAGCATCAGAAAATCTGGATTGGATCATCCTTGGGAAATAATGTTTGTAGGACAAAAGAAGTGTCTTCTTGAATTACTAGAAATACTAGAAATCTCCAGGTTCAAAATCAAGACCACAGCCAAAACAGCAAAAAGAAAAAAAATATATATATATAGTCAAGCATGTGCAAAGATGGGAACCCAGCCTGTGGTCCACTACCTAATAGATAATAAGATAGGATAGATAATACGATGGGGACTCCCATCACCTTCTATATAACATAAATAATGGGTGACAATTTTTTGATAAATTTATTATCACATTACTTACTTATCAAAAAAATAATTATTATCACATTAAGTGTTTAAATTTTATACAAGTTTGACAATGAGATGCATAAACATTAAAAAATGTGGGTGATTGTCCATATATATGCATACACGTGTATGAACGAAAAAATACAGAAACCAAATTCCATCATTTTCATTAAATAGAAGGATACTCTCGAACTTGTCTGACAGCATCAGGATTTTTATAACGGCTAAAGCGCTTCACATACTGCAGTGACTTCTCAAATACTCTGAAAAAGGAAGATAACCAAACTCCCGGTGAAAGGACTAAAAATTTGAACTTGTACAAATACAAACTGTCTTCTGCTGAATGGTGAGCAGTTGGCTAAATAAGATTCACAAATCTGGAGTTGGTATAGAAAAATTTAAGAAAATAAGAAAAAAAATGCACTGCAGAAAATGTTATTCCTGCAAAATGAAATTAATCAACAAAAACTTTACATATAACTTGAAATCTCATGAATTTTATGGTATGCAACTCATGTGAATGTACATTATTCCAACAAGATTAGCACTGAAATGCACTTATTAAAGAACTTAAAGATTATACATCATTTCTCAATCATTGATTCTTTCAAAGTAAAGCACCTGATCCATGTTGACTTAATATCAAATTTTCAAAGAAAGAGAAAATAATCTACCACATGGTTCAATAACCCAATGTTTAAATCCTTCCTAACTAGGAGAGGTCATGGATTCGAACAGTAGTATCTTGCACACGCACAAGACAAAAATAATCGAACACGAACTTATTGGTTTTATATATTTAATTCAAAAATTAAATTTATTCATTAAGTTATCAAAAAAAATATAGAGTGGAAGAAGATAATATGGGCAACTGAAACAGAACAGAACATTGAATAAAACCCAAAAACTAAAGATTGCTAAGATACTGTAAAAATCCTTTAAATAAAAAGTCTAGAAAACCCAAATTGGCATAAGCAAAAAGCTAGATTTTGTCTAGGAAAAAGATGTAAATACTTCCACCAGTGGAGAGATGCTAATACGTTCTTACAGTTTGGAGAAAGAAGTTTCAGTAACTTTTCTTAAGCACTTAAGGGAGTGAGACAAAGGACAGTGGATCAGTTTCAGCAAATTAATTGATACTTAGACATAACTTAAATGGTGGTACAGCGTCAATCTCGAAATCAGAGACACCGTCAATCTCAAAATCATAAATACAAAGAATTGTACATTGAAAGAATGGAAATGAAAGGACACAATCTAATACTCACTGAGAAACTTGATTCATTGGATCCTCAGACCTCTGCTGAAGCTGCTCATACTTATGTTCAAGAATTAAGGCAACTTCACAGTTCATTAGACATTTAGCCTTCAAAAACTCTGAGAAAACAAACCAAACCATCAATAATCTGATCATAATTATGTTCAAGAATTAAGGCAAGTTCACAATTCATTACACATTTAGCCTTTAAAACCTCTGAGAAGATAAACCAAACCTTCAATGCAAAATTTTAGAAGGCACCTCAAGGTAAACCTTGTCATGTATAAAATGTAAAGGGAAAAACAAGCACCTCTAAAAAACAACTCTAATCCCATTCGTTGCATTAGACAAACACTGACTACACAATTTAATTTCTCAACAATTGCGCAATATGAATCAATTATCAATAGGATAAAGACTAAATATTTTCAAACAAATTTCTCAACATTTGACTATAAAATTACATTTGTCTGAGTTTGTATGTTGTGAATGCTTTAATGTCACCAGTGTTATTGATAACATAATTTTCCAAAGTTCTCCTAGTAATCATATCTATTCCAAAAAAGAAAAGAAAAAAAGAAAAAAAGAAAAAAAAAAAAAAAGAAGACATGTAGATTGGATCATTCTTATACATAATGAAGAGAGAGACTGCTGTATTAGTTTATGTGTGAGGTCAGACCATTCACATACACATATGGATCAAAACATGTCAAACTGACGACTCTTTACCATAATTTCGGGAAATTAAACCAAAACTGAAACCATAGACGGAAAATATCATTGAAGAAGAAAGTTAGGATGTGTATACACAAATGTGCACATCGATGCAAATAAAAGAAAAACGATTACCATCTCCAATTTTCAGCTCAGCAGCATTTTCATCCTCTTCTCCCGACATGCTGAGAGCACAGGAGAAACCTTTTAGAAAACATGGGTTAAAGAATTCGTTGTATAATATAGTGAATACAAATAATTATAAATATTATTATGGATTGCCAAAAAAATCTGTTTGAATGCACTTCTATACCAAAAAAAACAAAACAAAACAAAAAAACATTACTCCAAAGTAGGAGAAATAAAAAAGAACTTTATAGAGAGAACCAAATTTTCAAAAGGGTTCTTGTGAAATTAATCATATTGAATTGAGTAAAGAAAAAACATGGATGGTAAGGAACTTAGCAGAGATTGAAAGATAATGTATGGAGAGATAATTTAATGAATTGCAGTAAAGTTACACACTATATTTTGCGTAAAAATGTACGTGGACGTATATAAATCTAAATATACAATATATATATATATATATATCGTATAAAAGAATAGAAAGAGAGAGACCGAATTTACCTAAACACGCGATGAAAAGAAGTTAGGGTTTGTTCGTCTAGTATGACTCTCTATTCAGAGTCGATGAAAGTAACGGGAAGAAAGTTCAGGCCTTCAGGGAAGCTTGAGTGAATTCTTTTTTAACCTAAACCTAACTTCAGGGGCTCATACGTGATGCGATACAAATTATGGTGATGCGCACTAATGAGATTAGATGGCGGCTGGAGAGTCCCAACACTATGAGATTGGATGGCGGCTCAGGAGTCCAAAATAAATAAAGAAATATTTTTTACTATTTATATTTTTTATAAAATTGTATTTATAAAAATTAAAAACTAAAAATTAAATTGTCTAAAAAAAAAGTTAGTTATCTAAAAATATGGATCCCTGTAATGCAATTTTAGAAATTATGATTCGTAATTTTACTTAAACACATTTTTTAAATATATAATCTTTACCATCTATAAGAGCACAATTTTTAAAAATGAAAGTATTTTTCAGTAATAGAGAAATAATCACTTTATTTAAAGAGTAGTGATTGTGTGGGCTAAAGCATACGTAAGCCTAAGGCATGTTGAGCTATTATTGGTTAATGTTTAAAACTTCTAATTATTACCAACTCCGTCACTCCAACAAAAAATTAATTTTCCAATCGAAATAATTTATTATTTTTTTTGTGAGTTTTTTTTTTTTTTTTTTTTTCGTTTTTGGTGAGATTTCAGTAGATCATTCAGGGATATATATATATATATGATTTGTCTCTTCAAATAGGGTGGTTTGGCTTGAGTATACGAGGGTGCTAATCACAATTCACCCTGACGACTAGAATATTATTTGCTACTTTAATAGTTGACGCGTGTATTTCCTTTTTTGATAATTAATTATTATTTTTCTGCTAATTTCTTTTTGGGTCTCTCATTATATATAATTACTATACTAGCCTCTTACTCTTTAGAAAAAAAGTGAGAAACCATTTACATAAATTATCTCTTCAGAAACCCCCATGGTTACATCTCACTTTTAAATTTTATTTTTACAAAATTCCATATCTAAATGTTTGAAGTTCCTAACGTAAGCATGCTAGGAAGGCCTGGACTTGAGATTTCTACACGATAACTCTAAAATTTTCTTTTTTACAAAAGTCCATATCTAAATGTTTGAAGTTCAAATCTAAATATTTTCAGATCCATATTCTTTGTATTCGAAGTATTGTTCTGATTTTTTAGATTAAAAAAATGTAAAAAAAATTGTGAAAAAAGTACTATAATCTGATTCTCTCTCTAAAATTATCTAATTTTTTTCATATCCCTATTATCTGTTTCGAAATATTCGGTTGTTTTTCAAATAAAAAATAAAAAAAAAAAAAGTATAATTGAAAAAAATTTAGAGTTGGAACTTCAAACATTTAGATATGAAATTTTGTAAAAAATAAAATTTAAAAGTGAGATGGAACCGTGGAGGTTTTTGAAGAGATAATTTCCACGAATGGTTTCTCGATTTCTTTCTAAGGGTGGAGGCTAGTATAATAATTGTATATAATGAAAGACCCAAAATAAAGTTAGCAGAAAAATAGTAATTGATTATCGCTAAAGTAGCGACTAAAATTCTACAGTCGGGGGCGACGGTGACTAGCACCCCTATAAGTATATTATAAAAATATTCTCGTCTTTCTACTAGTGTGGGCAGGCTAAAATCATTAATAATTTATGTTTTTGTTGGCTAAGCTCACACTAAATATTCTTATGTAATGTTTTGGAGTACTGAATTAGAGAAAATGTAGTTCAAATTTTGTACTAAATCATCTTCAGTTCTAAATCTGAGATGCGGATTTAGTGCTGCAAACCATAATATTAAAGTAGGATTGTGAAGAGCATGAATCTCGATATGAGTTGATCTAAATGGAATGCGTGTGGTGAGCAATAAAAAATAAATAAATAAATAACAAATAGATACCTGTTGAGCAAGCAAAATGTCTGCATTCTCTTTATTAATACGAAACCGACCAAAGAGTTACAACCTTCATAGCTGAAATGTTAAGGCGTGTTTAGTAACATTTTCGTTTTCCGTTTTTATAGTCTTAAGATAACAAAAACATGATTTTGCTTTCTTGAGTGAAAATAGAAAGCAAAAATTATGTTTATTAACACTTGTTGTTGCCACAAATTTGAAAACATAAAACAATGACGGTGTTTATTAATACATATTAATTTGTTACAGAATGTACATAATATTTTTTAAAATTTTTATTTTTTTCATGGCAAGAATTTTAAAAGCTAGTGACTAAAGGGGAGGGGGAGGGTAGATGACTTGAACACGAACTCTGGGACACAACCCAACCACTCAGGCACGGCACTTGCTTCCATTAGTATCAAAAAGTCATAAATCTTTAAATTTACAAATCTTAATAATACCCAATACATCATAAGTACAAAATTATATATACCAAAAAAAATATTCTCACCGATTATGTATATAAATACATGTATATGCATGATGTATACATTTATTATGTGATATATAATATATTTAGCATATGATAATTTATCATGAATAAAAAATATTAAATAATATATCTTATATGTAATAAAATATATACTGTGTCATAATATTGTAAATTAATTATAATTTAATATTTACATATAATATAATATAATATGGTATATAATAATATAAAATGTTCACTGCATAACAATTTAATAACATTATATTCTATATTAAAAATTATTTTGCCACAAAAAATAATTTACATTATTATTTAATGTAAATTATTTTATATTATTATTTTATATAATAATTTATATTATTATATATTAAAATACATTTTTATCAATTAAAAAATGTATATTTTTATTAACATTTAAAATGCAACTTAGTATATAACACAAATAATATGAATTTTATTTGAAAAGAATAGTGCCTATGTAGTAATAATAGTGAAAACGCTTTTGCGCTACAGTGCCGAAAACATAAGAAATATTTTTTTTTATGTTTCCTCTTTTTTTCACAAAAATTGAAAACGTTTTATATTATAGAAAAACAAAAATATTTTATTGAACGTGATTTTTGTTTTCATTTTGCCTTTTTAGGAGTTGACAACAGAAAATAAGAAACGTTTCTTGTTACTGAATGCAGAATGCAGCCTGAACTAGCCATGATCTATAAGATTACATTATGAACACAGGTTTAAAGGGTGTGGTGGACAAATTAGAGCTACTTGTTATACCATGAAAGATACAATAGACATGATGGAAGCTAAGGCCTGTTTAGTAATTATTTTATTTTTGTCGGGTATTAAACAGTGAAAAAATGCGCTTTGTAAAAATTATTTTATTTTGTACAAAACATTTCGTAAATAGTGACCAAAAATTGATACATTAATTTAGTGCTTTAGTATGTTCCACATCGTTTGGTAATGTAGTAATGAACAATATATATATATTTTTTAAAACAATTAAATGACATTTTAAAACTAACCATTATACTTTAAAAACTTGCAACACTTTTATGTTTTCATATTTTTACTTTTAAAAATCTTCTAACAAATGAATGTTACTAAACATACCTCCTATTACCATTCAAAAGACCACAAATGTTTTTAAACAAAACAGGGAATAAAGAAGCTTAAGTGTTTCAAGGTTTGAAATGGGCCAGGTGTGGAAAGCAAATAGAGGCTTCACATACAATCGAGTGTTTTGTCCTATCCATTTAAACAGTAAATTTGTTGATTTGACAAAAACGACCATGGCCCATCCAAGTTGAGGCAGTCAAAACCACTACACCACTAGAAGTTTATTCACAAACTGCAATCAATACCAAGCATGTATGCCATATTTTGTTAGACGGCTGCTGAAGTTAGTTTGGCATAAAAGGGAAAACAAAGAAAAACCAAATCATGTTCTTTTTTTGTGCGCGCGTGTGTTTTAACATAGCAGGTGTCTTTATAAGACCACAATCACCCTGGTAAGAAGCCACGTCATTAGCATAACCTGTGCCGAAACTGCGACAATTTATTCATAAAAATAATCATACACTGAGAAGTCGTCATATAGCAGTGATACATTTTCATAGTGAAGCAGGTAATAGCAAGCATTACAGAAATAGCAGGGATTCTTCGGGGCCCACTTATCGTCCAAGGTCACCTTTTCTGCTCTGGAAATCCTACATACGGAGCATTTATGTGCACTAAATTTATGTTGAAATGTGACAATTGGATAAGCTGCTTGATTCTGTACATCCTCTGGATGAATCAACCTCATGTCTCTAATTACAATTACATGTCTGCAATCACCCTATACCAAGTAATGTCCCATCGAGGAGGACGAGGAACAAAAAAAAAAAAAAAGAGAGAGACACAACGATTAGTATGCTCGAGAGTTCAAAGGCGGGGCAGTTCAGCATAAAGGAAAGAACAATCATCACACATCTATTGCAAAACTTGATCAATGAAAAGGGGCTATTTTAGCATGTGAATATATATACATATACATATACATATATATACAGACACAGAGAGAGCTCCCATTGAAGTCCTAAAAAATTCACAAAAGCCTTTAAGAAAACTTTCAATTTTTTTTTAAAAAGCCATCATTTTCTATCCCAACAAAATTTTCAAAATTCGAAAAAGAATTTATTTGCTCCTCAAGTGGGTCTCACAAAATTCAAAAAAGACCCGTCATTTTCTATTTATTATTTTTAGTTCAAAATTTCTTGTTATATTTATTGTCAATGGTTGCCCCCCCTGGAGTAAATTCCTGGCTCCACCACTGAAACTAGGACTAGTATGGGAATAAAGATGCCATACGCTTGTGGAGCCATACAAAAGCACAATCAATTATATGAGTTACATGCATATATAATTGTTATGCACAAAGAAAATGAGAGCAAGTTGATTGGAGACCATACCTGGTGACAGTAAAGATAACCAGCACCAAGTCGAAATTTTAAGTCACAAAAACGTGTCCTGTGCATGTCAACTTTTTTAAAGGGAGGCATTGCCACACTGCCCAAAAGATCTTTCTGCTCCTGCTGTAATTCACCAGAAATGATACATTCCCACTTTTCAAGTGCCTCAATCTTGGAATTTCTAAGCCAATCAAATATAGGTTCACTGTAGTCTATGGCAGAAGGATCCCTCAAGTCATTGCAAAATACATCCTAAAGGGAAGTAGCATTCAATTACATACAGAGAGTGTATATTTTTAAACATAACAAAAGCATAAATTTGGCCACTTACTTCTATAAGGAAATATCCAGATGCATCATACTGCCCTGCTTTTTTCATAACTTTATCCGTCAAGCAATATATCTTGTCCCGCAGTTCACTCAAGGGTTGCCGTCCTAAAACCAAGAATTCTTTGGTCTACAAACAATTTCAGACTTATAAGATGCAGCAGGAGGGTATGAGAGGATACACAACTGAAATAATTTAATAAAACAAGATGAATCTTTATAAATTTAACACTACTGATGCAATAGTTTCTCTAATTTACTAACTCAGAATGTTCATATAGACTAGAAAAGGTGATCAACTCTCAAATAATTATTGTGTGAAAAATCTAGTCTGGTGACTTCAATTATTCTGAAAACCCTAGGTTTCTTATTTGGGAACTGCACGGAACATCATTTGTCCCTTAGCTATAAAAAATTAAAACAAAATAAAGATTTACTAGGTGTAAAGAAAACTATAGTCTCTGGATTGATTGACATTTAGAAATAAAGTCTTCAGACAATTTGCCAATTGCTTGACCAGTCCAAGGTAGGAATAGATTGATAAAACCTGGGTGATCCACTGGTGCTACAACACCCTTTTTCATTCAGCTCTTGAATCTGCTTTTCCTTCATGATCCAAGTAATCCAATAGGTTTGCTCAGGTATCTAGAACTGTGTGAATTTCCCATTTAATTTCTTTCCAGTTATTCCCAGTTCCATGATTATTCTTCTTGTTAATGTCTTTATACATGAACTTGAGCATTGAAGCTTTAGTAAAATATTTATATTCATGTTCAAGATACTCCGTATATCTTAACTAATCCCTTTATCTTAGGCTTAATCCTTTTTATTACCTTTATCTCTGTTCTTGTTTAATCTTTGTTAACTCGTGACAAAATGGGAAGGAGGGGAGATAGAATTATGGGGTAATAGAGTAAAGTAGGGTGCAGTAATTGAGTTTTCAAGTTCTTTACGACTGAATGCTTCTCTTATTTTTATTTTTGCACAATTATAATTCACAGGCTAATTTTTATATTTTTTATTGGACGATATTGCACCAGCATTTCTTGTTTGCATACTGTGCAGGTGCAGGCATTTAATATGTACTTTTAGGATGTTTGGAAATATGACTTTTTGTCATTTAAAGTAATCGGAATCAAACGTAAATATTTTTTTTCAGAGGCTTTGACATGTAAGATTGTAATTTGATTTCCGTGGTCAGTTCAGATTATGTCAAATTTTAATAAGTCACGGAATTGATGTAGAGATTGTTGAGCATATGTACCCGTGTTGAGACATTCTGTAACAAAAAGTCAATTAAAGTTGCAACCTACATTCATGGGTTGATTTTGTGATTGACATGGTGATCAAAGATTAAAGCTGAGTTCTTGCAAGAAAATTTCCTTCGGGCTACTTTGATCACACACTTTTAGGTTCAATAGTGATTTATAACCCTTAGGCTTTATGTGATAAATAGTCAATTAGAAGGCCCAAATAAATCCAACACTATTGCTGCCTGTATGACAGGAGATAGGACAATTTAAACCTTACTCTGAGATTGACAGGAAAAAGGACAAATTTCATATGCTAAAAGAAGATAACAAGGAAAATGACATACATATCTTTCACACAAAATAAATACACATTTTTCTCCTACTAAAGAAAAATAATATCTAATATACATTAACAGTTGGCAAAAATGATCAACAAAAGGATTCCACCTCTTTCACTACCTGTATGACTATTTTTTTTTTTTGATAAGTACTACCTGTATGACTTTTCAAAGATGTTATATGGCTTACCTTTATCCATGTTCGTTTGTTATGGTAAACCTCAACACAAAGAACTACTTCTGGATAAAGCACTGGTGCATGTCCACATGCACTTGATGACCTGACCTGATTTGCATTTAAAAGAAGTATGACGTGTTCAATCAAATAACTTTCGCAGGGAAGAAGAAGTGGTAAGATAAATGTACAAAACAACAATTTGTCTTCATTTTAGGTGCAAACTACTATGGTCAGTTCTTGCACCTTTTCAATGTTACATTATGTTCCTCAATTATTTCATATATTTTTAAACTACAGAGAGAGAGCACATGCATCCACATTATAAAATTTGATTCACACAGTTGCGCAATCTGAGTTGGGCTTTGTGCTGTATTGACATAAGGCAAATGCCATCACAAACAAAAATGCATGGGGTAGTACATTTTTGTAAATAGAGGTACTTTAGAAGAGGGGTGATTTTAAAATTGAGTTTCTATTACTATAAACCCTCCCTAACACAATTTAAAGCATAACACTTAGCTTATTTTGCACGTTTATTTTCCTTCCCTTTTTCGTACTATTTCTTCTCTTATTTCCCTTCAAATTTCTTATAAATGGTGTATTAGTAAAAGACGGGGGAGATCTGTATCCATATATATATTAACTGAACATCTTGGGTGCACTTCCTACTGTTAGTTTAGTTGGCTTGGGGTTTTGAAGTGACCATCTGTGCCAGAAGCCCCAATTTTGCATGTTCTGTGTTGGTCCCTGTTCATGTTCTAGCCTTCTATGTCCATAGTTTCCGGTTATTTGGTTAATTTCCTTTATGGAAGCAGTTGTAGCTGTAATCTGTAAGTGATTTGGTTTCATGATTTGGCACACGGTGTTAGATGGATTGCTTGCTGTTCAGATATTGTTTGCTTGAGTGTTCAAGTTCATTTGTAAGTAAAAAGGAATGGGAAGAATGACAGTCTGACAGGAGAAGTGGTAGAATAAATCCATTTGCAAGTTTCACTGTCCATCTTGTTCTACTTTAGTTGGTTTTTCTTATTCATGCAGTGTAAAATTCAGCAACAGCCCTAGTGATTGATGTTGGTGGGTGTAACAGAGTCATTTTCATAAAATCAAGACAGTTCTTTTTTCTTTGCTTTTTGGGTGTTGTTTGGTGCTTATTTTGTTGCGATAGGTAGACACTAGGTGTGTAGAACGTGTTGTGAGGTTGTCTCTGGTTTTTGCCGCAGCTGAACCAAGTACAACTAAAGTGACTTTATTATTGCATCTTGGAAACTTTTATTGATCAGCTTATTGTGCTATAATCTTACTAAACTTGTAAGCTCACACCTTCACTATCTTAGAGGTACTCGCTAACATGGTATGTGGTAGAGGTGTGTCATAAAAAAAAAAATTTGTCACTTTATTATGATGAATTATATTTAGTTATGAGAGAACTTTGTAGTAAAAATTGCCTTGTAGTGGTTATGGAGTTGGAAACTATGGCTTTTAGCACCTCTGGATAATGTTTGAATCATTATTATAAATTTTTACCCTGGATTGCGTTTTATAGAACTTAGTTATAAGTGAAATGAAAAAATATAATTCATGTAGCCAACTCCAAGTAGTTGGAAAAAGGCTTAATTGAGTTCTAGTTATAGTTGTAATTGGTGGTGAATATTAACGGATTAGGAATGGATGTGTTTTAGTGATTATGTATCTAGTCCATGCACCAAATTTGAGTAGGACAAGAAGTTACAATATTTAAATTATGGGGTGTGACATATATACTCTTTAATTGTATAATAGCACTAAACATTTAACGTTTGTTATAAAACTAGAGAGGAAAAGTCATTGATCTAACAACCTTTTGGAGCTGCCCCAATATTAGAACGGACTAGAGTAAAAGAAAGTTTGAATAACAAATAAGTTAGGAGGTTGCAATATTAAAAAAAAGAAAAAGAAAACCAAAATCATGAAAGTTGGATAATAGAAGTCACAGATCAAAATGCAGCTCAATAACAAGCATGAGCAATTAACTAGTTTGGGTGTTTCTGGAGCAAACCTTTGTTGTAGAACTTATCGACCTCAGGGACGTCATCCTTTCACTTTTCTCTGAGGATATAATTCCACTGCAACTACCACTGGACCAAAATAAAATACAAAATACTAAATTCAGTATTAGAACGGAAAGTTGGGTAGGAATACCAATAACTTTTCTACCAAGAATATCAAATACATATATATATATATATATATATATATATGGCCAATAATAAAAACCAAACCCTTTATCCCATTTTTGTTTAGATGTCTTGATGGTATTTTTAACAACATTGGCACAATTACATTAGATGCATACTTGAATGAATGCAGCCGTGCTGCTGCTTTGTCTTCATCTTGTTTTTGCTTAATTCTCGCAAGTTGCTCCACTTTTGCAATATAAGTTTCCTGAATATGCAGCACAAAATATATCATTAAATACAAGGGGGAATAAACACTGCATTCAACATAAACGAAGCCAATGACTAAAATATAGGCTGCTCTTAGCAGACTTGTTTTTTTTTATTTATACAAGTATCATTCAATAAACCAAACTCACTGCATAGTTACAGCCAACATATCTGATACAAGGAGCATTCGACAAACCAAACTCACGAAGCAACTTACACATAACCAGCCCATGTTCAAATTCTAGAGCCAAAGCAACATCTTAATTGTCACAAACACCAAGCAATCTATATATTTTCAATAGCCCCACATCTCAATATTAGAAGTTCCAGATTAACAAGATATATAACCGTCCCGTCATCTTTACCAAGTCCTAGTAACTAGAAAACATAAATTCAATGGATCCATATCAAAGCTAGAGGAAGGTTGACTATATTAAATGGTTTTTAGATAAGCAAATAACATAAATCAGAAGCACAAAAATATAATATAGAAATGAATGTTACTGAAGTAGTAGCATACTTCAAGAGAATGATTCTTCCGATTTCTCTTCCTCTTCTTCTTTTGAGTATTTTCACGCACTTTTCCATTGTCACCCGTTCTGAGAGGAGAGGTGTTTGAGGACTCATAGGAAGCTGAAGCATTCTTTTCTCTTCCTGACTTTTCTAAACAAGCAATTTCAATGCTTGATATTCTCTCATCGTCTTCTCTCCTGTTAATTATATAGAGAACATAAAATCAGATATCTTTTGAAACATGCAAAGCAGCCTAACTCATGCTACGTTAATCCAAACAATTATTATCGGCCAATTGTTCCTTCTTACAAAAAATTGGATATCATAAGTAAACAATTGGTGTGCCGAAGAACATTACCATATACAAAGGACCAAATACGAAAACCAAAAAAAAGTTTAAAAAAAATAAAGAAGAAGCAGAAATTATCTTGGTATCATCCTTCTTTTCTTTCCCTATTATTTTCCGCTGGGGGCAGGGGAGGCCTGGGGCAGTGTTTGTCTCAGCATTAACTACTTTATACATGGGAGTTCCTAACAAGACCTCAATCTGCATAACAGATATTCATCAAAATTTAGATAAATCAACATTTTCCTTGGAAGGAATACTTCATGACCACCTAACTTTAGTAAATTAAAAACCGTAGATTAGGGGAATCACAACCAAAAGCACTACCTTAGAGATTCCACTGCTCTAGCAGAATCAGGAGAAATCAGTTGGTCTTAAAACAAACACGGGCATTACATAACTCAGTATCTTTTACAAACCAACGAAAAGAAAATGTGTCGATAAGCAACGATTCAAAGTAGAAACAACAGTATTATAACTTCAATATGTGCTCAGTTACTGCCGTTCGTTTATGTTTCACATGACAATATAGTCCTACCAATGCTGCCCAAACTTGTAGATGTCTGCCTTAAGTATTGTAGGAAAACCCCCTCAACAACTTTTCAAAGATATTTTAACAAAAAAAAAAAAAAAAAACTTTTGAAAGCTATTTTGATCCCGTTTCACCACAGAAGCAAACCTAGTCCCTATCACTGATTACCATGAAATTATTTAGGCTAAAGAAAATTCATTCAACCAGAATTAAGCATGTGTCATAACAAATATGATTGGTTTAAAGTGAATCTGAAGCAGAGATCAGAAGCCGATTCAGATTTTGGTCTTAAAACAAATTTCCCTGCCACCAACCACCAGATTTTCATGGGTATTCCTGAGTTAATCAACATAATACATGTTTCATGTTTCAACATACATGAGATTTGAATCTAAAATTTTCAAATATAATTTCACTTTTTAGGTATGTTTACTCCAAAGGTTTTAATAGTCAACTAATAGCCACTCTTGCTACAAATTTCCTAATAAAGACGATCCAATTACAAATTAAGTTCCATCCACATAGTAATAAAAAGCTAATGCTTGGAGAACATGTCCTGTTAAAGAACATGCTCGTGATTATTGGAGGATTGTTCCACATTGTGTTTGGTGGTGTCTATGGCGTGAGAGGAATAACAGAACTTTTGAAGGAAAAGAATCGTCTTTAGCTAATCTGAAAATTCATATTCTTCGTTCTTTGTTCTGTTATTTAAGAGGAAGTGCATGCTCCTCGATTGATGATTTCTTTGATCTTTTGGATGCTATTGGTCCTTAGGTCTTTTTTCTTCTTGTATTAGGGATGCGTTCCCCTTTTGAACGCTTTTCTAATATATTTTTACTTATTAAAAAAAAAAGAAAAGCTAATGCTAAAAACCAGGCCGCAAATGTAGATTGATAAAGATTTGAGGACAAAGAAGTGCATTAGAGTCATGGAGAAATAAAAATGGAAACATAGAAAAATGCAAGAGAGTCAAAGGGTTTAAAAAATAGTAGGACTAAAACAGAACACATGGTATGTAACAATAATATAGATGATGATAATGTAACAATAACATTCAAGATCAATGAATCACTCAAACTAGCCTTTTTGGATATTTAGGTTCAATAATACTAAGTGACCGAGAGATAGATGAGATTGTAATAAGTAGAATAGGAGTGTGTTGGATAAAGTGGAGACAAACTAGTTATATCTTATCACAAAGAATAGTGAAGCGATTGAAAGAGAAACTTTATAGGACGATTATCAGATCATTCATTTTATATGTGAAGCAGAATGTTGGCCATTGAAAAAGAAACAAGAAAAACGTATCCATGTTGCTAAAATTAGAATGTTGAGATTGATGATAGGGATAACTAGAAGGGACAATACTGGTAATGAAAATGTTAGAAAAAAAATAGGTGTCGCACCCATTAGTAATAAAAATAAGAAAAAGTAGGAATTGATGGTATGGACATATATAATGTAAACCTGAAAATGCACCAATTACAAAAGCATTATTAGTTAAAATAGAAGGTAAGAGGGAAAGAGAGACAAAATCAACTTAGGATGAAATAATTAAAAATCCCTTACGAAAGTAGATATAATAGTGGGGATGGCAACGGGGCGTGGGTAAACCCTACCCCGCCCCGTTGAAACGTCTCTCATCCCAGTTTTTGATAACAATACCATTCCCCCCCGGGTAAGAAATTCAGTATCCTACTATCCCGTGCTCGCTCCGCACTGCCCCAATAAGAATGTATACTCTGTAGCAATAAGAACACAACCACACATGGTGTTCAGTACTTACTGAAAAAAAAACACACATGGTGCTTTAATCTATGAACATGCAACCAAGAAAGAGAGAAATAAAGAGCGAGAGAGAGGTATAGAAACAACGAATGAGATAAATAAACAAAGAGAAGGAAAGAGAGTTTACCGAAGAGAGAGAACGCCAGTTGTCGGAGGTCCCCGGCTCTTGGAAGTCACTCCTCTTGATAGTCGTAGACTGCGACGGAGTGGGGTTGGGGGCTGCCGGCGGTGATGGCTGAGGTGAGAGAGAGATTAGAGATCATTAGGACTGAGGCGAGCGGTGGGTTAGGAAGGGAACCCTAACAGATCTTATGTATATATATGGGGTATCCTTTGCAATTTTTTAAAAGGGTAAGTGTATTAAACTATTAATGTAATAATATTATATAATCGGGGCGGGTTTTACTACACACCCGCACCCCCCCACCGGGGGGCCAAACCGAGTCAGGTTACAAGAGCTAATACCATATCCGCACCTACCCCTAAACGGGGTATATCATCCCTGTCCCATTAGGGGAGGGGGCGGGGCGGGGCAAATTGCCACCCCTATATAACAAACGATATGGCTTATGACAGAAAATAATGGAAAAAGAAAATTCATGTGACTAACCGACCCCATTCAAATGAGACCAGGGGATGGATGATGGCAAAGAAGTACATTCATGAGAATCAACAGCTAACTAATCTTGTCCGTATCAGTTTCAATTTTTATTGGTTATAGAGAATTTAAATACAGGAAAGAAAAATAACCCCTTCAATGGAATAACCTTCAAAAGAAGGGGGAAATATTACAAATTTCAATGTAATAATGGGTTACAAATCATATAATGCTAATAAATAGCTTAAAATGAATTTTATAGTCACTAACCCTGCAGTATAGTTCTCTTCTGAAACTTGTGACGGATTTCCAAACACCTCACCATCCTGCAATCAATTGACAAGAATTTATAGAACATATATAGAGAGGTTTTCATAACAAGATAATAAGCTGCATGCCTTGAATGCTTCCTCAAAAGCCTTATTTGCCAGCTCTTCCTCAGTAATAATTTTAAGTTCGTCAACCCTACGAAGCATTAGTGCAATAAGTCAAGACACCACCAAAGAAGATGGAAAGTATATAGCTAGTAGTTACAAAGAGAAACATACATGTTTACAGATCTGAGTGTATATAAATATGAATGTATGTATATTTACATATCAAGACTAATATGACTGAGATCATAAGGAAAGATATAATAGCATGTAGTTCAATTGAAAATATGGCCCTAATAGAACAAAATAGGTCAACAAGATCCATGTAGCTGAGCCTAAATAGTTGGGAAAAGGCTTTGTTGAGTTGAGTACAGTATCAACTGTCAGAAAATCAAATAATTGAAATCAATGGTCATCGTAATTTAAATAGTTCTTTTTCTTTTTTAATAATAAACAACATTTTCATTAATGAACTAAACGAAAAGGAGAAAAGATAAATATGAGATTTCCTTGCAAAAGGAAAGTTACAAGGAAAGAAAAGAAAACACCAAAATCAAGGGGCCCACCACCTCACAACATGATCATGGAAGGTAAATTGCCCTCTAGATGGTCATATCTAAGGATCCAACTGACCTCACAATCCGAAACACAAATCCCAGATCTTATGAATACAATACCCATATTGCCAAGAACCCAATTAGGTTATCTAACCCAACAAATGACCACAAAAGAAGGCCCATCAACCTAGACATTAGAAAATAGCGACCAACCGCCTTTCTCTCCATTATTCGTGTGCCTAAAGAAAACAAAATGATGAAACCATCAAGGTATTTCGAGACACAACCCAATGCCTATCCAGCTCAGATACCAAAGGAGCAAGCATCAAAGTAAAACACAATTCCCTCTTCAGGAACGACTTTGTCTCCCAGGAAGAAGAATAGCCCAGCCCTCTAGCCGACTGATCTTGTTGATCATATAATTGGGAGGGAACATATCACATTAGGGATGAACAAACAAAAGTCTCCTCTAATCACCATGACAAGGCTCGTTCTTTCACTGCTAACCCCAAGCAGTTTCTTAATGCTGACACTTTCTCTTTTGTCGAGCCCACACCTTTTAGTGTGGGTTCAATTGGATGAATCTCTCAAGTCAAGGTCTAGGAAAACCTACAACACTTTTGAAGGAACATCTGAAATTCAATCTCTATACATGAAATCCAACAAAAACCATAAACTAGTTGGCAGCAAGAATAAAAGGAGACAACGAGTGTATATTTCAAGAAATGACTGAGCATATGTCAAATGCCCATGATTTTGGAGGTGTTTACTGGTATTGATTGCTATCAAGAATAAAATAATGACAAGATGTGCACACAGAAAGATTAAGATAAGAAAGCACATGCACCATTGAGTTGGTCTATCAGACTACCAAATAAGATTTAGATGCGTTATATATATAATATTATCAACATAAGAAGTGATGTAATTTTAAATATTACTATTTTGTTCAACTTCCAAAAAAAAATCTTCAATCACCTTATGTGATACCAAAAGAAGAAAATCATTTTTAAAAAGTGATAGCCAATTCCCAAAAATAATTTCTACTATCAACAGAATGCAATAAAATTCACGAAGAGTCTTGGAAATACCACTGCTGAGATTCTCTCACACAAAATTCTAATATGGATATATGCCTCTAGATAGCACTAGATACAGAAAAACGGTTCATGTATCCAACTCCAAATAGTTGGGATCATATATTTGTTCAGTTAAGAGGAGTTCAAACAATTCTGTTGTGAACATTCATCATCTATATTCAGTAAAACCCAACTATTGAAAGACATTGACAATGAAAGTCATTACGATATACATTATTTATGACACATTGTGCAAGTAACAAAAAAGATCCATAGATAAGTTCTGTCTTGATGCATGTATTAAAAGGGGTGACTAAGGTATTATTAGAAAAGGAAAAAAAGACATAAAGATAATGCGTACAAATTTTTGATAATCAATAAGGTGAGACTACACGGTAAGATGAGTCAAATGTATTCTAATGAGAGACTAATGCGCACAGGACAAAGAACTGAAAGTGAATTACTTCTAATGATGAGACAATGACAAAGGATGCAGTTTAGTAGTGATTAAGCTAGTCATTATAAGATAATCATAAAACATGACATCATTCACAAATTTTGAACACTTGCACTATACTATATCTACTTATGAACAAAAAAGATATCACATGGAATGAGAGTTCTGCTGCCTTGTTCAGTAACTTGTTCACATTTGAAACAAATACATCTACCAACAACATCATTCTCATTGTAAATATGAAACTAATAAGTGCGAGTCAACTGAAGTATTTGATTAATATTGATCTCGTGTATAATCAATAACACCAACTTCAGCCTAGTATCAATGTACCCTAGTAAGTTCCAATGCTCAAAAGACATACCAATATTATGATATCTTTATCTCCTAGAACACAGCAAAAAACCACTGCAGTGCTCTCTTCCTGTTCCTTCATATATTATTAATAATGAGAGCATCAGAAGATTCAGAACTGCAGACATCAACATAATCCACAGTATTTTCACAGGCAAAAAATTAACAGCCACTCCCTTCACTACTTCAATAAGCAATTGAACCATCCCATGATTTTAAGGAAAACAAAAGCAACAGGATGTCTTCTCAAACTCATGCTACCATGACCTTGTGATGGAACGGAAGCTGTGAATGTTCAACAATGAACAAGAACAACTTTGAATCCACAAAGTTAAAAGAAATTTGCAGAGAAATCTGATATATTATTCACAATCGAATTGGTTATTGATTATCTCTCTGTTGTTACCATTCATTGTATTTATAGTAGACAAATCCTAAAACAGAAGGAATCCTAAAAATAGTTATTTGAAACCATCTCTAAAAATTATGGAAAAAAAAAAAGATAACATCCTAATCATCAAACTAAGATAACTACCAAATTTCAGAACAAATTGACTTCGTTTAGACCCCCAACCAAGCCCGATATATTCAGTAGTCTCTCTACAAGACTAAAAAAGGGGATTTTGGAGTCCTAATCAAAGATTTTCAGCAAAAAAACGTTATGGCCCCACAAGCTAAAGCTAGAGGGTTATGCTCAATGGGTCGTTTCCAATCAAGAATGGGTCTCCTTGAGTTAAAGCAGGTTTGTCGATAATTCTGTCCTACATCATCTTGATAGCAAAATGCAGTTGACAATTTCCAGAAAATTGAAAATGAATTTAACAGATCCTTCAAAATAATGGAACGCAGCTTTATATATATAGTTATTTAATTATTTATTTATTTTTTTTATAAGTTTCTTTTTTGATATATTCAGTTGGGTAACACAAGGTTGTGGGCCTGTGGCGCCAGCATTTCCAAAGTCCTCTTTGCACGAAATAAATTGATTTTTCATCCATATCATTATATTCACATATTAAATGCAAGTGTGAACCAACATGACAATTGGAATTAAGGTTTGCCCAAAGGGCATTGACAGACTTATTCTCAAACATTATGTTTCCTTCAAAACAAAATGGCCTCTACTTTCTTCTGCTTTTCCCTCCACCTTTTGAAAAACAACCAAATAGTCATAGCATCAAAATTGTCCGTTGCTTATTTAACAGTGTCTTATCCATTAGTCGTATCATCTCACAAATTAGCAATCACAAACACATCTACTAAACACAACCGAACAAATATATAATAAAGTATTTGAATGAGCAAAAGATAAATTTCAAAATGCAAACAACTTACAAAATATCATCGTCACAAACTTCAAGAGAGTCTGATCGTATCTCTGCCCAAAGATTCTGCAGATAACCAAAAACAGAGATCAAAATTCAAAGAGACTATGAAAAACAAAGAATCATATTCATATACACACATTTATAGCGGACCATAATATACGCTGTGTACCTCGAGTTCTTGGAGAACAGAAGCCTCGAAATCGGAAACCCTAGTGAGTGGACCGACCATGTCAGGGACATATATAGGACCGCCGCGAGGAATTGTAACGTAGGTGCCTTCTCCATCTTCAACGCAAGACTCCATCATCTCTGTGTCTTCCCCTCAATTAGGGTTTCTTATTGCAGAGTTGCCATGTGGGTGGTACTTGGCCGGATCAACCCGCACCTAATTCGGTTTTTTATAGCCTTTGGTGTGATAGGGTCGATCGAGTTAGGGAGGATCTTGATTCTTGTGTTTATACCTAATTTTCTGAATCGGGTTAGAAACTAGAAAGGATATTCACATTTCACACTGTATCATATTTTATAGTTTAAAACAAGTTAATAATATCCATTTAATTAAACAAGATTAAATAAGTTATTAAATAAGTTTTGTTGTGTTACGAGTAATGAGTTACTCGAATTGTTAATATTGATGTGATCTAATTTTATATAATTATATTGATATATAATATTTAATTAATAATTTTAAAAGTGCAAAAGAAAAAAAAAATGGAAGTAGGGTGAATCGGAATTTATTTTTTTTATTTATTATTTTTTTAATTTTGTAATTGAGTGTTTTTAGTGGAAAATTAAATTTGAGAATAAAAATCAACAATAAAGCCAGGTTTCACTTTGAATTAACGAATTTAAAAATAATTGATTAATACTCAATCCATTTAAAGGGTTATATCACAAATTTAATGCAAATAATTTAGATTTAAGTTTTGATAATAGGTATGTAAAAAATTGTGCACAAAAAATGGCATGGAATAAAATTTGGAGAGGAAAATAAAAAGGTGGGTAGGTCCGCACTTAAAAATCGAGTCCTTATTGGTTATAAACCGTTTTCAAAGTCTCTCTGTCACAATGAGTGCATACTTATCTAACAAAAAACAAAAGTACCTGAAAGATGATCGGGTTGGGACCGGGCCGGGCCAATTTTGCACCAGAAGAGCATTCGGCCAATACCACAAATTTGATCCAATATCCGAACCAAAGGAATCCTCTGGGCGGGAATAGGCTTCATACCGGAATGTTCAATTAGCCCGTTTCTAACAACCGGCTAGTTTGTCTTTCAGTTTTGGGCATGGACCAAACAAAGATACGAACACGCGGCCCAGTTTGGTGGCCCAGTTTGTATAGTCATAGTTATACTACTCTTTTTCCCTCAATGGGCTTGGTTGGGCTTTTGTGGTCTAACCCCATTTCTTACTGTACATACATAATTTTTATACATATACAACTTGCTTGAATTTCCTTAAAAAAGATAACAAAATTGGAAAAGTTATTTGAAGTTTATACATACGAGTATTCTAACTATAAGAAGAGCACTCGCACAACCGTCACAACAAATATAATTATAATAAAATGAATGCACGAGGAACTCTAGTTTCGAGATTTGGAATGCAGCTTCAATAAACAATATTTTATTTAAACTCAAATTTAATTTATTGATTTATGGAGATAGAACCAAAGTCCTTGGATACGAAACCTCATTTCTATTAAGAATCACACATCTTTTGCCATGAACATGCGTATCCAATAACTCCATATTCAACAAAGATCACACATCTTTTGCCATCAACATGCGTAGACAAATCCTCTATACATCCACATATACATGTTTAGTCCATCCATGCATTGCCCGCTATCCAAATGATTTCGTTGTGTGCTATCTTCCATGTCCCTTTAGACATGAAACTCATACACAAACATGCAAAACTCACTTATAGCACAACTTGAGAGACACTCAAACTTATGCTCCGGACACATCTTTTATTTCCTTCTTTTTTGCATGAACTCGCCCATCACATTTTGAGTTTGTTGCATTTTTTAAATTAGGTAGAGATCACTTGATAGAGTTTAGTGTCAATATATAAGGACTCTTTTGGCATGCGATATGATTTGGGATTTTATTTTTGTTCGATATTAAAACAATCGTTTTGTTGTAGAACTTTTTTGGGTAGAAATCAGAATCATATTTGGTAACAAAAATTTGTTTTAGTTCATTTACTATAGTACCAAAACACACAATATCACTAATTTGGTGATATAATTTTGGGCCAAAAAAATATATGATATGTTATGAATTATTTCAAATTAATATTAATCATTCCAAACATGATTTAGGTCGAAATTTAAACATCAATATTAAAAAAACAATATCATTACACATTTCAAACAGACTCTAAATTTTGGATTGTGACCGAGAGAGTTGCGGGTGAGGGGGTGGCTCCACTAACTATGTCAATGATAAATTGAGCCCACATCGTCACGCACGTCAAAGGAGCCCAAGTCCTCCACTCGCATCAAATAAAACAATACCAAATGAAAACTGTGGACTATGACACAAAAATAAATAGTAGTATGACTTTTGAATTGTTTGCAATTTGAGACTAGCAGAGAGTAGCATGCCACTCTAGCAGGGGACTGAAATGACGTTAGAGACCATAATTAGCATCTCATTACACTAGAAGTTTAAAAGACCTCTGCAATTTTATTTCATACTTCCACCACATTCAATAATTGAAAACTTAATAATTATAATATTTCAAGATATTTTAAAATTTTCGCTCATTAGATCAAGTCATTACACATGGATTAATTAGGAGCATTAAAGCCAATGTGCAGGGTGGTGGCACATAAATCGTGTTCTATTTTTGTTGATCGTTTTCCAAAAACTGTAGAGACTGCACAAGTCAATTTTAAAACCAAATGGGTATAACAATTATTGGGAGCCTAGATAAGTTTGGTGACAGATGTGAAAATAATTCATTGTGTAAATGAAAGAGTAACGTAATAGATGTAATTAAGCACACACATGACAAAACAATGCAAAAATTAATGATAATACTGATATTCTTCAACATCGTTCTTAATAATTAGGGGTCATAATTATTTGGTGTAATAACGGTAAAAACCAATCTAATAAACCTGAAAATTTGGGTCACTTCGGACAAACGTTGTAACAACCACATGCAAACTAGTCAACATGGGTAACGGCCTTTTAGTTGTTGTTTACATTTTGTCAAATGCATAGTAATCAATTAAGTACCGATATATTTTTTCATACTCGTTCGATCAACACATAAAGTTGGCAAACAAAAATTAATACATTAAATGCATATCATTTGTATATTAAATGATAATGTATTACAGTGATATCGCATGCTGCTATGCATATCAGAGTAATGAATGAGATTACACGGGCGGGTCCAATTGATAATGTTTCCATGTCTAACAATTAGGGATGGGGTTGGGGCGGGAAGTGGTGGATTTATCATTCTCCATCTTTATTTTCGTCTAAATTTGACACTCCCTCGTCCCGTCCCGTTTTAGAAGATAGGAATGAGTAGGGTTTATTTAGAAGTGTATATATAATATGATATATATATAATATGATATAATATGTTAAATTGGTAAGTACAATAATAAGGCAGGGGCTAATAGGAGTAATTCCATATGTACTTAGGGCGGGGATTTCCCTTTTCAAATTTGACCAATTTTTTTTCCCAACCCTCATTTAAATAAACGGTTCTCCAAATCCGCTTTAAACGGGGCGGGAACGGGGCGGTTTCCCACGGGTTGGAATAAATTGTGATCCTAACAATGGGGTACACTTTTACCATGTTTAATATTATCTCATTTATATTCCAAGATACTCACAAAAAGTTGCTGTAAATTTTTAAGAATTACTTTTGATTAATTATTTATACAAAATACAAGCAAGTAAAGGGGTACACTTCCTAATTTATTGTATAGATGATCAATTAAAATGATTTTCCTACATAGTCTGTTAACTTCTTAGTTACTAGCTTTGACAAGATTTACATGTGTGTCTCAAAAGAATAGTACTGTTATCCAATCTTAAAATTTAGGCAAGTAAAAATAATCAACAGATAAATACATTAATTTGAAGAGTTGCAATATAACTTAACCCAACAACATTGTATGTAAGTGAAAAAATGCAATCAAATACGTCAAACTTTCAAAAACTATATGATTTTTCAAATCTGACTTCTATTTCCTAGTTATTTTCCCTTGCTTTGATTAGTTGGTTTATTTCGTCATATTAAGAAGCAATATTCTTATCAAAGTATTAGCAAATTGAAAAATGTTGCAGCAAACAAATATTGATCCACACCAACCCAATCGACAATTTATGATGCATTTAATTTAAAGCAACCCATTATATCTATATTATTTATATTATATGATATGTGACAAAAGGTTGCTCTGTTTCATACAAGAAAATGAGAAATTGGTCACAAGCAAAGACCAAAACACCATAGTGGCAACCAAGTAGAGTCAGTACTTCAGGACCATCTCTTGATGACCTTAACCTTCAAGCCATGCTTCATGTACAGAATGATGGAAACATTAGGAGACACAGGGTGTCCTTTGACCACTTGAACATGGTAATTGTGGATCACAGTGGCTGCAACAACCTTCATCTGAGTGAATGCCACTTCCTTCCCAATACAAGTCCTAGGCCCTGCATTGAATGACAGGAACTTGTATGATGGCTCGTGCTTGATCGTTCCGCGGCCTGTGATCCATCTCTCCGGCTTAAACTCCAAGCAATCATCCCCCCAAATCGATTTAGCCCTTCCCATCGCGTACAGCGAAAACACTATCTTCATCCCTGGATGAACTTTGTGGCCACTAGGTAGGATGTCTGGCTCAAGTGGCTCCTTGTGCTGGAATGGAACTGGTGGATACAGCCTCAAAGCTTCAGACAATGCAGCATGAAGATAAACCAACTTGTTGGTCTCTTCAGCGTCGAAAAGCCTCCATTTTTCAGCCTCATTTTCTGGTATGGTGCTATTGAGTTCCTCTCTGATTTTGGACTCCACACTTGGGTTTTTTGACACAACCCAAAAGAACCAAGTGAGGGCTGAGCTAGTTGTGTCACGTCCTGCGATCATGAAATTCAGAATGGTGTCTCTCAAGAACTTGTCGTCGCGGTTAAGTCCCATGTCTTCACGATCTTCATTGATGTAGGATGTCAAGAGATCAACACCCTCTTCGTCTTCTTTCGATTTGGTTACTTTTCCGCTAAGCTCTTCGCGCTTCATTGATATGTACTTGGCTATGACATTGTCTAGAGTTTCCCAGGCCTTAATGAGCTTCTTCTCTTGTCCAATTCCGAGCCATTTTTCCAGCTTCCGTATGAATTCAGGGACAACATGTCGAATAAGTATGACCTCCTCGGCATCATCCAAGGCTTTGGAGAAAGGAACATGAGGGAGGTCGAGGGAGAGGCAACCGGGATCATAGCCGGTGACAAAGGTGCAAGTGGTGTCAAATGTGAGCCTCTGTAGCAAGTCCTGCAAGTCCACAGTTAGGCCTTGCTTGGAGGCATGTTCAAGGACAGGGATAAGTCCGTTGGCCACCTTATCCCGGCTGGTTTTCACCAAGAACCGGTTGAACCGGTGGTGATTGATCATCATCCGAGCAAGCTTCCTCTGGTTCCTCCACAAATCGGAGTCAGCATTGAAAATCCCATCTCCCAAAACATCGAAAATCTTCATGAACTCGGGGCCTTTTGGGAAGTTTGAGAAGTTGGCACTCATGATATAGTGCACATTGGCAGGATCAACAGTGCCCACCATGTCCATGTTAGCAAACCAAGGCCCTTTGAAGTAAAAGGTAGCCTTGGATGGATCTAGGATCTCGGCGCACCATTCGTGAATCCGGTGAATTTGGAGGAGAATACCGGGTAACATTCCGAACACCGGCCAGTTCCATAAGGGGGAACCATCGTTGTGGCCTAAAATCCAGAAATAGGTGAAGCATACGACTGCTAAGAACACTTCAAGATAGCCTAGTGAAGCCATGTCTATGCTGTGAAATTGTGAATGGATTGCTAAGTTTGTATGTATAGTGCATATATATATATATATATATATATAGCTGTGACCGAGGTAAATTTTAGAGGTTAAATTCAGCGTAAAAGACTCTTATCCTGTATTGATTTATAGGTTATCCATAATTAATGATGAAATCCATACTTTTCATACAATACTAGTAAAAGAGTAATGCTGCTTAAACAAAAATGCTAAGCCAGCTCAATAATACCAAAAATGAATAGATTTATTCACTTTATATCTCTTTCAGGCTTTTGGTAACTATTCTCAACTTACTGTATATTGAAAACGATGTTATCTGATCAAGATTTATTGACCATATTTCTTTTGAAAAAAATAATTTTTTAAGTTAATAGTCAGGTTCAATTAATTTAAATTATTGACTTGACTATTTGCTTTCAATAACATTGCTCTCCTTTCAATAATTTTGATGATTTGGTTGGTGATTTGGTTTAAATTTTTGTTTTGAAAAGCATTTTCTAATTAAAAAGTTGCATGCTTAACCATAAATTTTGTTTTAAAAAAATTTTGGCTTTTGAAAACTACCTTTTAAAAATAATTGTGTCATATCTAAGTGAAATGCGACAAATTACAACACTACTATAGCAAATGATGTTAAAGCAAAAAATCCGAGGGCAGTGACAGAGACTAAACGTTCAGAAATCACAATATCATTTACCAAAGAGAGCCTTGGGAGGTCCTCATGTATATATATATATATATATACTATTATTAAATGTGCAAATAATTTAGTGTTTTAGTATTTTAATATTTATTTAATTATATTAAAAAATAGATATAAAAAGAATAGTTATTTTTTAGGATAATTATCACAATATAACCAGTCTGCCCCAATTATGATTATGTCATTATTAAGAGAGTACATATGTTATCATCCTATTAATCCAAGAAGCCTATAAATAGAGGTATGGGGGTCCTATTAATCCAAGAAGCCTATAAATAAAGATATGGGGGAAGGAGAAAGGGGTATAGAAATTGTGAATTCTAGAAATCCAGAATTTCAGAGTAAAATACAGAATTTCAGTAGTTATTTATTTATATAAAAAAATATTTATTAATTGATATAAAAAGAGTTTTTACTTATACAATTATTAAATATGCAAAGTGTTTCAGTATTTATTTATTTATATAAAAAAATATTTATTAATTGATATGAAAAAAGTTTTTATAATAATAAATAAATAAATAAAATTATATAAAACTCTAAAATCTAACTAATCCATCACAAATTACCAATTTTATTTTCAATAAAACTCTATCACAGTAGATAAAGATATATTTAAAAAGTTTTTACAAAACTCTAACACAAATTTTTAATTAGACAGGTATTATTAATATAAACTATTATTTATTAATTGATATCAAAAGAGGTTTTAAAAGAGTTTATATAAAATTCTAACACAAATTATCTATTTATCTATTTATTATGACTTTTTAAATAAAAGGAAATCTATTTATCTATTTATTATGAGTTTTTTTTTTCAGTATTTATTTATTTATATTACAAAATAGATATAAAAAGAATAGTTATTTTTTATGGATAATTATCACAATATAACCAACCCGGCCTAATTATGATTATGTCATTATCAGGAGAAGACACATGTCATCTTCCTATTAATCCAAGAAACTTATAAATAGAGATATGGAGGAAGGAAGAATGGTACAAAAATTGATAATTCTAGAAATTCAGAATTGCAGAGTAAAATACACAAGCTTGCCAAAGATTGTCTGTATTTATTTATTTATAAAAAAAAAATATTTTTAGTATTTATTTATTTATATTAAAAAAATATTTATTAATTGAAATGAAAAAAGTTTTTATAAAAAAAAAAAAATCTATAAAACTCTAAAATCTAACTAATCTATCACAAATTAGCTATTTTATTTTCAATAAAACTCTATCACAGTATACAAAGATATACTTAAAGATTTCTATAAAACTATAATACAAATTACATATTAATTTATTTATTATGAGTTTTTTAATAACAGGAAATCTAATTACACAAGTATTATTAATATAAACTATTTTTTATTAATTGATATAAAAAGAGGTTTTAAAAGAATTTATATAAAAGTCTAATACAAATTACCTATTTATGTATTTATTATGACTTTTTTAATAAAATGAAATCTATTTATCTATTTATTATGAGTTTTTTAATAAAAAAAATAGTTTTTATAAATTAAAAAAAAAAACTCTATAAACTCTAAAATCTAACTAATAAATTTTAAATTAACCTAATTATTTATTTATTCTTACGAATTTTTAATTAAAAAATATCTAATTAGACAAGAATTCTTAATATAAAAAATATTTATTAATTGATATGTAAAATAAAATAATTTTTCTTAAACTCTACCACAAATTAGCTTTTATTATAAGTTTCTTAATAAAATTAAATCTAATTATACAAGGATATATTTATAAAAAATAAAATAATTTATAGAAAACTATATCATAAATTACCTATTTTATTTTCAAAAAAATGTTACCACACTAGACAAAGATATATTTAGAGAATTTCTATAAAACTTTTATACAAATTACGTATTTATCTATTTATTATGAGTTTTTTAATAAAAGAAAATCTATTTTTCTATTTAATATGAATTTTTTAACAAAAAATATTTCTTAATTGATACGGATATAATTCGATGTTTTATTTAATGAATTTTTGAAAAATTCAAAAAAAAATTACAATATTTATTTATTTATATAAAAAAATATTTATTAATTGATATAAAAAGAATTTTTATCTATACAATTATTAAATGTGTAAAGAGTTTCTGTATTTTAATTGATATGAAAAGAGTTTTATGTTGAAAAAAAAAAATCTAAAATCTAACTAATAAAATTTAAATTAAAATATTTGTCAATTTATTTAATGAATTTTTTGGTAAAAGGAAATCTAATTAGAGAAGGATTATTAATATAAAAAATATTTATTAATTGATATATAAAATAAAATAATTTTTCTAAAACTCTACCTCGAATTAGCTTTTATTATGAGTTTCTAAATAAAATTAAATCTAATTAGACAAGGATATATTTAAATAAAATAAAATAATTTCTATAAAACTTTATCACAAATTACCTATTTTATTTTCAATAAAATTCTATCACACTAGACAAAGATATATTTAAAGAGTTTTTATAAAATTCTAACACAAATTACCTATTTATCTATTTATTATAAGTTTTTTAATAAAATAAAATCTAATTAGACAAGAATTATTAATATATAAAATTATTTATTAATTGATATAAAAAAAAGGTTTTAAAAGAGTTTCTATAACACTCTAACACAAATTACCTATTTATCTATTTATTATGAGTTTTTTAATAAAAAAATATTTATGAATTGATATAGATATAATTTAATGTTTTATTTAATAAATTGTTGAAAATTAAAAAAAAAATGAAAAAGGAAAATTACAAATATAGAATGTTATTATCTATAAAAATAGTTTGATATTTATCTATTTATTTATTTATTAAAAATATTGAAAATTTGTGTTATCTATTTATTTATTTATTATAAAATATTTATTAAATTACATAAAAAGATATTTATAAAAATAGTTTATATAAAATTCTAAAAATTACCTAATAAAATCAATCAGAGTAAAATCTTATTAATTGATATAAAAAAAATAGTTATTTTTTGGGGATAATTATCATGATATAACGAGCCCGGCCCAGTTATGATTATGTCATTATCCGGAGAGGCACATGTCATCATCCTATTAATCCAATAGTCCTATAAATAAAGGTATGAAGGAAGGAGGAAGGGGTATTAAAATTGAGAATTCTAGAAATACAGACTTTCAGAGTAAAATACAGAAGTATTTATTTATTTATTATATTAAAAAATATTTATTAATTAATATAAAAAGAGTATTTATCTATAAAATAGAAAAACTCTATCAAAGAGTTTGAATATTTATTTATTTATATGAAAAATATTTATTAATTGATATAACGAGACTTTTTATCTATACTATTATTAAATGTGCAAAGAATTTAAGTATTTAAGTATTTATTTATTTATATAAAAAAATATTTATTAATTGATATGAAAAGATATATTTATAAAACTCTATCACATTAGACAAAGATATGTTTAAAGAGTTTTTATTAAACTCTAACACAAATTATCTATTTATCTTTTTATTATTAGTTTTTTAATAAAAGAAAATATATAAAACTAGACAAAAATTATTAATAAAAAAATTTAATAATTGATATAAAAAAATAAAATAATTTTTCTAAAACTCTACCACAATTTACCTTTTTGTGACAACCCAAATTTTTAGAATTTTAAATTATATTTATTTCATGATTTTTAGTTGTCTTATTTAATTTTAAATTGGATATTCATGATTAAGCTATTTGATTTATTTTTGTTGCAATTGAAATTGAATGATACTTAGGTCCTCACTAGTGAGGATTTACATCATCCTCACTAGTGATGTGGATCAATAATAAATCACCATCTATGTGAATTGGTTGTGATTTGGTAAGTGTGTATTTACCCATCATAATAAATCACCATCTCTGTGATGGCATGTTTATTTATTATTAGCCCACATCATTGTGAGGATGGTATAGATCCTTACTAGTGAGGACCTAAGTATTGCTCATTGAAATTATATTGTTTTTCTTGACCTGATGGAAGGAGTAGCGAAATTAGTGGGTAAGGAAAGAAATTGAAATGGTATAAGTGGCGGGTCCCAGAGGTTTAATAGGTGTTTTGGTTTTTGTAGTCATATATATATATAATGGGTGTTTTGGCTTGAAGAAGTAAGATGACAACCGAAGTGGAAGGAGGCAAGATTGAAATGGTGATGATGTTGGCGCGGGCCCCACAAGATTTTGATGGGTTTGATTTTTTAGTTTTGTTGCATTGAGTGTGTGTGTGTGTGTGTATATATATATATATATATTTGTG